CTCAAAACTTCCACTAACTATCTACGATTACAGCAATCCACACCCTAACCGATACTTGTTTCCGGAAATGCATACCCGCCGGTGCGGTGAAGAAAGGCGCGTTAGACAAGTACGAGGAGCCGTGTATGCGGAATTGCGTGGATCGGTTTCTGGACGCGAATCTGGTTGTGCTGAGGGAGTTGGAGAGGTTGAGGCAGTAGATCGGGTTTAGATGTGGAGGGGGTTTGTGGAGGGAGTTGGATGGAGGAGTGGAGGGAATTTAGGGGACGACCTTTTGGAATGCTAAAGATGGGGAATGGGATGGGTGTACGATACTTGTGGGTGTGATGAATTTGGAGACGAGTGTACAAATATTAACGGCATTCGGGATGGGCTTGGCTCTATTATCTGGGATGAGCATAGACTCTCCAATCTGTACGAATACGAGGCGCGTACGAAATAGCAACCTCGTTGTTTACGCAAATCACACGGTCGAAGAAATCAAAATAGGCGCCATGGTGTAACTTGATTCGTTCAGTCTCTAGTGACTATATGCCCATGAACGCCATGCATAGCAATCCGCTTTTGCGTCCCAAGACCCGAGGTATCCTCATGCAGACAGAATGCAAATATCCCACATCACCCCCATTTCATCCCACGTCTTAGACAATAGCAAGCTTGGTAGCCGCAATGTCCAGAGCATCAACATCAGCGGTGAGCCTGGCGAACGCCTTCTTCGTTCCATTAGGGCGGATGAGCGTGTTGATCTTGACGCAGTCGACGTCGTACTGCTTCTTCAGCGCGCCGGCGATCTGGCGCTTGTTGGCCTTGGTGTCGACGATGAAGACGAGTGTGTTGTTCTCCTCGATCTTCTTCATGGCGCTCTCCGTGTTCAGCGGGTGGATGAGGATCTTGCCGGCATCGAGACGGGGCTGGCGGGGGATCGACTTGCGTGGGTAGAGCGGTGTGCGGCTGTCATTAATCCGTCAGACCATCCTTTCATATCGAGAGAAGGGGAGAATCGATATAGCAACTTACGAAACCTCAAGAGTCGTCGGGCGATGAAAACTGGTTGAGTGTCGGACCTTCCTGGTCTTGCCCGCCTAGACAATTACTTCTCGTCAACAGTGCCCGTGTAAGAAGTAAATGCCGTCAGAGATTGATTCTGACACGGTTTGAATTCAACGTGGGCTCCTTACATGTGTGCCCTTGAGAGCAGCCTTTGCCGCAGCGTTGGCCTGCTTGTTAGGCTTGCCACCTGTGTATACGTCAGCATAGGTCCAGTTTGAAATGCTGGATTGCGCGCTGCAGAGGTGGTCCAATGTGCACGGCCTGGTAAGAGGTGGAGGAATCGAGCGAGAGCGCTGCTGCCGACATCTCCAGAGTGCGCAATTTATCGATTGTAGCAAGCGCGCAATGCTATTACATATTTTCGTGTAGAAAGAACGTACCCTTCTGTGCTTTTGGTCCCATGGCGATGTGTTGTCGGGTGAGGTGAGGTTGAGGTCGAAAGTCGAAGTCAAGAAGTTCGCGATCAATGCAATTCAAACTTCGGTGTGTCGCTCGCTTAGCCGCCCAGATCTGCGCTAGCGCCATCCCGTTCCTAGCAACAATCTTGGCACTTCCTCACCACTACCTCAACCACGACCACGACCATGTGATCCCAACCCATCGAGCAGCATGGCTTCCAAGAAGCGCCCAAAACCCCTCTCTCACGGACGCCCACCAATCCAGAAAGAAAAAGAGCGCATGAGCTCTAAGCTCTCCGCGACCATCATTCGGTCCCATCATCGCCTGAACAAGGACCTCGCTGCCGCCGTGAAAAGAGGGGATCAAGACACCATCCAGAGATTAGAAAAAGCTATCAAGGAGAATGGCGGCTTGAAGCAATACCAAGCAGCTAGCAAACAAGGCCAATCCGCATCTCGTGGCGGCGACTCGAGCAAAATCCTCGTGCAATGGCTTCAGGACGCTGACATCCTCCCAACCACAACCGCCACCTCCAATCCCAATCCCAACCACCCTCCTCCAAATACAACTACAAAACCGCTAAAGTTACTTGAAATCGGCGCCCTATCCACTAAGAACGCAATCTCCCAATTCCCGACTAGGGTAGAAGTAACACGCATCGACCTGCACAGCCAAGGCCCCGGTATCTTGCAACAAGATTTCATGCAACGCCCACTTCCATCATCGTCAGATGAGAAATTCGACGTTGTATCATTATCGCTGGTGCTGAATTACGTCCCGGACCCTGTACAGAGGGGCGAGATGCTTCGCCGCATACCTCTCTTCCTTCGCCAACAGTCTGCTTGTGAACTGGGCAAGGAGAAATTACCAGCTCTCTTCCTAGTCCTTCCGCTCCCCTGCATCCAGAACTCGCGATACCTTTCCGAAGACCTCTTACTAGCGATCATGCGGACTTTAGGGTTTGAGGTTACGCAGAGGAAGCTAAGTAATAAGCTGTGCTACTACTTGTTCCAGTTAGTGGGGACGGGAAGTGGAGAGGGGGTGAAGAAGAGGGTTGTGAGGGATGGGCCGGGAATGAATAACTTTTGTGTTGTTGTTGAGTGACGGGATGGAGGTTAGGTATAAGTTTAGGTAGATGGGTAGGGCGGCTTTTGATACCCGCTGTGCATACAGCAGAGACTATACGAGAAAATACTTCTCTGGCGTTCATTGTCGGCTCTGTCTTACATCTATTCAAGGGAGCATATCCATCAATCGGTATTAGCTATGCATGCATTGTAGGTAACAGGACATGAGCTTCTAGATCGATAGAACAACCTCTCAAGTCCTCCTACGTGGCGCAGACGCAAATTGCGAAATAAGCATGCGTGCAACGATCGTTTATGTGCAAAGAGACGTCGTGGGACGTCCGCACCCACGCGGTCTCGGCAAACAATCTCCGCCAAGCACAGCCCAACGTCAACGCCACACTCATTTCGCCAGCGTTTGATCTCCATCAAGTGTCTTCACAACATCATTTCCTGCTGCAAGAACGCCCCGCTTATCGGCCAAAAACACGATGTCCAGACTCGTGGCGCCGTTGCTAGCCTGCGGGAGCCCGTTGTTAATCTCGCGCCTAAGCCGAAAATCTTACGACGGTCATACAAAATCTCCCCTCCCGCCCTTTGATTTCCACTGTAATGATGAGGGAGGAAGGCGATGCCAAGGTGAGGATAGTCTGCATGGATGGGCCGGATGGCAGATAGGTAGTTATGTCTTGTAGACGCCGTCTTAGGGAAGATTTTCGTTTCAACCTCACGCTGTGGTTCTCTCACATTCGTTTTCTGTATACTCTTGGTTTGCAAGCCGCTGGCTGCTTCCATTCGTTACTTTCGATCGCTAGAATCGAGTTCATTCGTTAAAGAAAAGTCTTTCGCTTTCTGCTCAGTACGATCTTGTTGAAGCATTTGTGTTGAGCACTGCATTTCAATCGAACATCATGAAGTCCTTTCTGATCGCTGCTCCCATTGTGGGTCTCGTTGCTGCGAAGCATTCCCATCCGAAGCCATGCTCTTCTCAGAGCACAGTCTATGAGTTCACAACTTCGACATACACTGTCACCGTCCCGGCTTCGTCTTCAATCTCGACTCCTGTCACAAGCCTTGCCCCAGCCAAGTCAACAAAGTACCTCACATCAGTCATCTACGTTACTCCCTCCCCAGCTCCATACTACCCTCTACCAAACGGCACATATAACGGCACGCACCCATCTACCGGAGCGCCTATATCCTACGTGCTCCCCTCCTCCTCAACCGAAGAGAGCTCCGCAGCACCAGCCGAGACCAGCCCTCCAACAGAAAGCAGTTACGCAGCTGCCCCTTCATCCGAAGCCCCAGCCGCTGCTTCAACATCTTCAGCTTATGCGCCGATCCCAACATCTAAGAGCGCTGCTACGCCGGCTGCCTCCACCTCACCCAATGTCGGAACTGACGCCGCAATCGGCGGCTCCAACGCCGGCGAAGCTACTTTCTACGGCGGCAACACTGATGGCGGTATGTGCTCATTCACGGGATACACGCTGCCATCAGGGATCTACGGAACCGCGCTGTCGGATAGCAATTGGGCGAGTGCTGGGAACTGCGGTGCTTGTGTGAGCGTGACGGGACCGAGTGGGAACTCGATTAAGGCCATGGTAAGCCTTCTTCCCCCTTCCCCCTTCCATCCCCGTCACCAGCCATACTAATCGTATTATAGATCACAGACCAATGCCCAGGCTGCGGCACGAACCACCTCGACCTCTACCCCGACGCTTTCGCCGCGCTCGCCGATCCCTCGAAGGGCGTTATCAACATCAAATGGTCCATCGTGCCCTGCGGCATCACTTCACCTATCATCTTGAAGAACAAGTCCGGCACCTCGCCGTACTGGTTCTCAATGCAGGTCGTGAATGCGAATGTGCCCGTGTCGAAGCTCGAGGTCTCAACTGATTCTGGAGCGACGTGGAAGGCTACGACGCGTCAGCCGTACAATTACTTTGAGAACGCGAGCGGCTTTGGCACCAGCTCGGTTGATGTGAGGGTTACGAGTGTCCACGGTGGGACGGTTGTGGTGAAGGGTGTTAGTGTGAGCAGCGGCGTGACGGCGACGGCGGCTAGCAATCTCTCTTAGACATGTTCAGGGATGGCGACAGTAGGACGGTGTCCAGGTTTCGATTCTTTAATGACGCGGTCTTGGAGGATCAGCGACATGGTTTGTGATGTGTAACTTCTAAAGCTTCAATTCTTGTATGTACTAGCCCACTCTTGAAGAGGCGAGCAATGCTCCACAATAGAACTCCTTCATATTAAAGGACCCCGTTTCCACAAAGCCCACAAGCTCAAGACCCTACCGCTGACGGGCCGTATATGAATCCTGCATGCCAGCAGTAGTCCTCGCTCATTGCATACGCAATCACCCGACTGAAATACATAGTCTCCCTGCAGCTCTCCACGCCGCAGCTTCGAGGCATTGCCGGGTTATAAAGTCGAGTAGAACCTCCGTCGATGGTGTTGTCTCCTTCGATCGCGTCATACGGTGGGCGCCTGGTATCGAACCAAGGGTCTTCTCCTTAAAGAGGAGATATTCTTCCTTTGAACTACACCCACGAGGAGGGACGACGATGAAGTAGGAACAGTGTCGCAGACGCCTGATAAGGCTGGTGATACGGTCCGTGTCAGGCAGCTGATCCCGCGGTCGACAGCTAGCCGTACTTGCTTTGCGCGTTAGTAGTAACAATTAGTAGTATTCTTGAACTTTACGGGGAAAGGAAATGTATCCATACGCACCTGGAAAAGAAAATGGTGAACGGCCCGCCTCGACAGAGTAATCGGAATCGAATGATACTGTTCCTCTTTCACCCGAAGGCTACTCGAGGTCAAGTACGCCGCGTATTGCACTATGGTGTCGCTCCGCAGAGCACACAATCTTCGCACCGACTCCCATAGGGACACCCATACAGCTTCGATACAAGTACCGTCGCCTCAAGGGCCCTGAGCTTTCTGATGCCGAATGCAGACGTGAGTCACGCCAGGCTCTTGCGAGCAGCGATGCCAGAGCTCGCTTGCGCGAGATGGTAAAAAGTGGTGAAGATTACTCCGAATTTCTCATTTGCAGGAAGGACGAGCTGTGAAGCTGTCTGTGTGTGAGCAAAGAAACGCAGCGTTGGCGAGGCGGGCCGTTGAAGGAAGAAGGTGAGCGTAGTGGGGCTTCGAGATTTTGTAGCTGAAGCGGAGCGCTAGGCGAAAGGTTGTTCCGAGGGCGGTGACGGCCAGAGATTGGTAAGAGTAAAGACAAGTGAAGGGGCATTACTCATCAGGTCGACTCATGCTCAACTCTTGACGTACGCTTTGGAAGTTCTGCTATGCCATTTCCTTGTCTCTAGAAAGATGTAGGCACATCAGAGACCTGATGCAATATCTCGTCGTACAGAGGTAAAACAACACAAGCGCGAGTGTCTCAACATAACTCTAGTAGCAGAAACCCACGGAACCTTCAAATTGCATCTCCAATATTCGCTCATCGCATACTGGCACGACAAGTGGGTGAGTTTGTGTCTCACCTTCATCTAAGACAAACGCACGGTCTCTGCAAAAAAAAGAGAGCGGCTTCGCTCTTTTCTTTTCCTCTCCTACTATAACCCAGCGGGTAATCTATCAGCCCTCCAGACGCAGTTGGTCGTTGAGCTTCTGGCTGCCATGAAAGAACTGCCTTCGGAGATCATCTATCTCTTCGCCGAGGCATTGGAAGAGCTTGATGTCTCGGAAGAGCATCCTCTCGCGCATCTCCACGAACAGTCTACTAATAGCCTCGTCAACTGGTTCTCTCTAACTTCTGGAGCGCGACAATCAATTTGCAATTTCCGTTTGGTATGTCAGAAGTTCTATACCGGATCTGTCAAGAGCTTTGCCAGGGTTCTAGGAGAGCGGAAAATCCGAATCACGAGGGTCGGCTTGCAGGATCTGGAGGCATTCACCAAAATTCCAGATTTGGCACCATGCATCACAACGCTCACCTTCGGGAACGCCGGCTTCTACGATCCCTCGAAACCTAGCTTCAAGTACATCGAAGAAAACTTCAAGCAGATCTGCAATAGCATCGACCACGATCGGGTTTTACAATCCTACACCGAAGCCGCTGAGTGGGCCTCGCCAAGCAACATCGAGCAACACGGTCGTATGCTACTTAGAGCACTAGTATCGCTTCCAAATCTGCAGTGCGTTCGCTTCGTCGACGAGCCCATACGACAGGTTCGTCTTGATGGATGGCTCGAGCCTGAGGATCAGAGCGTCGTTAGGCGTGCACAATCTTCGGGATCGGAGTTAAGCGGACTCGATCGTCATTTTATCCCGTACCAAACCGTTCCCACCAAGGATCTGATGACCCCGATCTCTTGGGCTATAGCACGCACGAACATAAGACTGCGGGACGTTCGCCTGACCAGGGACTCGGAACATTTCAACTGGAGAAGCTTTCCGGCATCGCCTTTCGACTTGACGGAGCAGTATTCTGAAATTGAAATGCTACGCTCGATCGTAAAGCCTCGTGCCTTTGAGCCAGCAGATTCTACCACTTCTATTACTCCACAACGGACTCTGGTAGAGGCAAGTACGAAGTTGAGAGATGTTTCTCTCACTCTGCAATCTAGGCACGAGGATTTTACCGTTGCGGCGCAAATATGTGCAACTAAGTGGCTCGTACAACATCTGGCACGGCAAAAGCACCTCAACCGTCTCGCACTTGACGGCGTTTGGACCTTCAGTCGCGACGATCTCGTCCAGATGATCACTCAAGCAGGCTCTCTTCAGTACCTCATCCTTTACGCACCTCAACTCCGTGATTCCTCGTGGACGGCGGTCATCAAGGAGCTGGTAGCGCTTGCACCCATGAGCATGAAGCTGCTAGAAATTGTTATGCCTATGGCCCCAGAAGCCGACGGAGGCCGCTACAGTTTCGTTGAGAATCCATCCCACGGGTTCGACGATGTGCCCAAGGATCTTAGGTTTGCTGTCAATCTCAAATTCCCAATATCTCCATGGGCTGAGTTCATTAAAAATTGGCGTTGGTGGGAGTACACACTCGGCTCTTATCGACATTGACCTCGCAGAGTTTCCCTCTTGCGGTGGATTCGGATGTATTCGCAGTACTCTGGCCTCTAGCCCTCTGCTCTGCAAGTACACCTCTCCAGCAGCTCAAGGCCAAGTCCTAGAACAATGATTCGCATCAACAGTTCATTTCTTAATTTTGTATCAAGCTCCAAGCTACCGAGAGCGTTATCATGGGTCATGCTTTCCACGACAGGTCCCTTCAAAACCGCATTTGTGCCAGACATTCTCTATCATCCACCAACGGAATGAGGCACTTTTGCTCTTCTTATCAGTATAGTGGGCAAGCACTCTGTATTTAGTTCACTCATGGAGACCTTACAACAATAGACATCACTCCTTATCATGCTCTTGTTATGATTCACGAGTTCGCCGTGTTTGCAAAGGTGTTGTAGCACAAGGCGAATGTAGGCCAACGCATATCAAATCCTCCCGGCTCAGTCGGGGTGTCAATGTGACCATCGGTTTTAGCTATCAGTTGGGGTTGGCTCACTCTCAGAAGGCATACCGCGGCGCGTGAACGCCGATTGTATGGAGACAAAGGTGGGATGAATTGACGCATAAGCATAGGAGCCATAGCTCCTTACACCCACCCACCCACCTGACTGCATTGTGCCCTGACAACGGCGAATACCTATGACGTTTGTACTTCGCGGGCGTGCTCGCTGCTCACTGTACAAGAGCATACGAACACTCACTCCGCACCTCCTTCCCCTCATAACCACATCTGCGAACTTACACACCGCATAACACACCACAAAACAGTCGCGATGTTGTTCTTCCGCAAACTCCTTAAACGCTTCAAATGCGTCTCACGGCACAAGGGCAAGAAAAGTGTCCAAGTCGACGAGGGTGACCGCCTGGTCAGCGGTTTCCTGACCAACCCAAAGTTGTCCGGATTACCTTGTGGAAGCGCTTCGTCGGTCGAAAACGACTTACCTGGGATCTCGTCTGAGCCACTGGAGGGCTTCAGCACCCACGGTACAATATCTGTACCTACCGACCCGACCCCTGAAGACATCACGCAGTCATCACCTCCAGAGGTGGATGAGACGTCGGGAAATGCTGTATCAGATCAATTCGGCAATGAGATGCCTACTCTGGACTTCTTCGGGATGGGTAAACCCGACGAAGAGATCGATGGCGAATCGCTCGGTGGATTTGATGAGGAAGAAGAGCTTGAAGCACTTCAGGAGGTTGAAGGAGATGCGCAGGAACACTTCTCAGAGGAAGGAGGCTCTTCAGCCACAGAGACCCCTCCTACCTCTGAATCTGAGCCCGATGAACGCGAGAAGAGCACAGAGGCAACAAAAGCGCTTGGCGAAGACTGGCCCACCATTCGCAGCGTTCCCATCCTCCGCTTCAAGAAAGTTCTCTGGGAGTGCCTGGCCAACGGTGAGACCTTCAGCGGCGACGACTTCGAAGAGGTAAACACCTTCCAAGGCGGCTTCAAACTCATCCGCATGATCAAAGTAATCAGCGGTCCGAAGCAGGGCTCTACTTATGCTATCAAAATCCCTGGCATCGGTGTCGAGTCTCGCTGGAAGTGGCAGGATGCAGAGATGTTCCGCTCTCAGATTGGCACGATGAAGCTGCTTCGCGATACAACGAAGATTTCTATCCCAGAGGTCTTTACGTGGGACGATGGCTTCCAGAACGAGCTTGGTGCACCTTTCATGATCATGCAGTGCATGTCTGGGGTAACGGCGAACCACATCTGGTACAACTTGAACGAGGACGGAGAGATCATGGACGAGGACGTGGATATGCCGACACCAGAACAGACAACAAAGCGAGAAGTCTTCCTGCGATCTCTAGCTTGTCGCATGAGTGAGCTTCAAAGTCTAGAGTTCGACAAGACCGGTGTTCTGAGGTTCAAGAATCCAGACAGTGGACATTACGAAGTAGGCTCATCCTGGAGCTGGACCAAGATCGATGACGGCGCCTCTCGACACTATCTTAACAGCTCAGAAATGCTGAAAGAGACCCCAACGTTCGCATCCACGAAGGACTACTTTGCGCACGGATTCAACCATGTATTCCCGAACAAAGAGTACGATGCTCCCCTCAGGCTCGTCGTTCGCCGATTCTTTAACATCATCCTCGCCAGCGACCCCTTCACTTCGTCCACCAAAGATGGTGATGAGGATGAGACATTCATCTTACGCCACGACGATTTGGGCCTCCAGAACATATTGTGTGATCCCGCAACTGGAGAGGTCACTGGCATACTGGATTGGGACTCCGCGAAGATCGTACCCCGCTGCGTCGGATACTCGTCCGCTCCTGTCTTCTTGAAGCGCGATTGGTTCCCGGAGTACACGCTAGGCAAAGGCCATATGCCGTGGAAGCTAGAGGAGTATCGTGAGACCTTTGCGGGCGCTATGATCGAAGCGACTGGCCAAGACGGCGATGGCAAGTTCAGCATGAAGTCGGCGATGTATCAGAGTATACATGCTGCGCTTTTCGGTGATAGTTCAGGCAGCGACCCCCACGATGTTTTG